ACTAAAAAAAAAAAAAAATGAGGTGTTTGACTTACATCAGAACTGACTCACATTGGAGTTGTTGGAATGGAACTACTTAGATTTTTATTTAGATTTTGCAATCTATTCATATACAGAAGCTAAGGGGTACAGTAGAATTATGAAAAACAGCAATTATTTATGTCATTAAATGTATCAATAACTGGACTAAAATAATCAGGACTCACAATGATAACTATGTTGCATATTGAAACTTTTAACTCAATAGGATTTCTACTCCTTTCTTGTCATATTGTGTCATTTCTCATTCTGCATAGGATTGTTCAAAACAATGCTGAAATGGCAAAAGCATATTTTGAAGAAGAAAATAAGTTTATATTATGCATCACATCTGGAAATTGCCTTTCTAGGTTAAAACTTGCTTATTTCTTTATTGTTTTGACACTTGGTCTTCAGTATTTCCAAATTTCAAGTGAATGTCACACTGTCTTCTCAGGATATGATTCTTCACCTTTGTATAGTTATTTTAATTGAATGAATGTAAAGTGAAAATAATGCCTGGGTACATTCCAAGGACATGTATACTGCAAGTAATTTCATGAAGAAAAGTAGAAATATATTACTCACTGATAGTTGTTGGAAAGGTCAGTACAGGTGGAATTGTTCTTGCAAGGATTCATTTTACACTCGTTGGAGTCTTGCTCACAAAACGTTCCTTCCCAGCCAGGCAGGCAGACACATTGATAGCTCTAAGGAAATATGAATATTATACAACCTTTAGGTTATTTCTTACTCTTCAACCTAGAATCCATATAATAGTCCTAGATATATTGAACTCTCTGTCAATTCATGCCTTTTTAGCTTTTAATAGGGTATAAAATCTTCTTAAAATTCACTGTTGCAATATTCTAAACACTGTATGAAGCTTTCTTCAATATCCAATTCAATATAATTTTAAATCATATATAGAATGAAAACATAGCTCCCTCACAATCCAGTCTTATTAAATATCTTAAAAGCCAAAAGCAATATTATGGTTAGTGATGTGAGTAAAACTAAATATACAACACAGAAAAAGTTAACAAGCTAAAAAAATATAACGAAATGAAATAAACCTTCTGATGGATTTGTAATGTTACTGACAAGTAATTAAACATATTGCCATTCAGTTGATTCCAACTCATACTGACTCTATAGGACAGAGTAGAGTTGCCTAGTGTTTCCAAGGCTGTAATCTTTATGGAAGCAAATAGCTACATCTTCCTCCCATGATGCAGCTGCTATAAAATGTAAATTACACATGGCTTTCCTATTTCTATTCTACATAAGATGATGGAAACCTCTTTTTCCACTTGTGAATAGAATTTAGATGTCTATATAGTTATAAGTAGGTAGATGATCAGCAAAGCTCTTTGAGAATAGAGAATGTCTTTAATGTATGTAGCATCTTGAGCAGGCCTAGGTCCCAGTAGATGCTTAATGCATGTTTGTTGTTATGTGCCGTCGACTTGGCCCTGACTCATAGTGACCCCTCCTTGGGTTTCCAAGGCAGGATCACTACAGAAGTAGGATTGCCCAACCTTCCTTCCCAGGAGTGGTTGGTGGGTTTGAACCGCCAGCCTTCTGGTTAGCAGTCAAGT